CTGGGCTCTCCTGCAGGCCAGGGTGAGCCCAGTGCTGGGCAAGTGGGGGCCACTGCCTGGTCGTGGCCACCAGCTGCTGGGCTCTGGCCTGGGGAGAGCTTCTCCGTGGGGAGAGGAGCCCAGGGCTGAGCTCAGCAGAGCTGCAGCCCTCTGCTTTAACCTCTGCCAGTGCCTGGTTGGAGCTGGACACTCCTGGAGCCACCAGCCACGTCAGAGCCACTGGTGAGCTGCCACAGCTCAGCTGGGAGCCCAGGGATGGGCACTGGGCACCCTCTGGCTCTTGGCACAGCTGGTGGAAGCCTCCAGCCCAGAGCCCAGACTGTCCCTTGCTGCTGAGAAGGGCAACAGGAGGTGTCCCAAGACCCTGAGCTCAGCCACAGAAAATACACAGGAGAGACACTTCTTTCTGTGGAAAAATCCCTCAACTAACCCAGGATCCAAGATAACAATCGCCAGCTTCTTGCCAACAATAGCCTCATTTTCCCTCCCTCCCCCTGACTCACAGTAAATACATATTTCAAGAAGCCAGGGTGGTGTGGACAAAGAGCAGGAGGCAGCTCCTCCTCTGCCCACCCCCATTCCTGTTCTCCTGCAGACCACGGGCACCGAATCCTCGGTGCTGAGCCAGGACTCACCACGGTGCAGCAGGATGGGAGTCCCTGGAGGAGCCTCCTGCTCCAGCCCCGAGCCCTGTGTGCTGGGGGGCTTGTCCTTCCCTGTCCTGCCCTGTCCTGCCCTGTCCTGCCCTGTCCTGCCCTCTCCCCCACCAGGGAACCTGCTGCAGCAGCGTGGTGTTCACCCCGTGCTCCCAGGGAGCCCTCCTGGAAGCCTCCTGGAAAAACCTCCTGGTAAAACCTCCTGGAAGCCTCCTGGAAAAACCTCCTGGTAAAACCTCCTGGAAGCCTCCTGGTCGCCCCCCCCGGGATGGAGCTGCAGCCTGCTGGAGCAGAGCAGCTCAGGAGGGCAGAGAGGTGACGTGGTGCCAAGGGGGCATTGGAGAGGGGAGCTGTGGTCCCTTGTGCCACCTCCTCTGTAGGATTTCAAGACCAGGCTCTGCAGAGCCCAGCTCAGCCCTGGCTCAGCACAGGGGTGTGAGCGAGGGGACCCCTCAGCTGCTTTTTGGCCATTCCTTTCTCCTTCTCCCTCCTGAGCTGAGCCCAGGCGTGTCAGGGTCTCTGAGCTGCTCCAGCCCCCCCGAGCTGGTTCCATGTGTGGGGTGCCCAGCTGCAACCCCCCAGAGCTGCAGCACTCAGAGCCACGAGGAGCAGCCAAGGGGCTGCCCCCAGGACCAGCCCCCCTCACCCAGCCAGCCCCGGGTGGGCAACTTGCCGTGGCAGCAGGAGAGCCCAGGCCCTGCCTGTGGGCAGCCCAGGGGGGGTAAAACCCCCTCGGTACCCACTTGTGCCAACCTTCCTCACACGTGTTCCAGTGTGCCTTGGACAGCTCATGGCTGGGGGAAAACAGTGCTCTGTGGAGCCACAAAGTGTTCCTGGCAGCTCCTCAGCTAAAAGGAGACAGAAAGTCAATCTCACTGAAGGCAGGAGCTGGAGGCTCCGTGTCCTCACTGCCACAGGCTGGAAATTGCCCAAGTAGGTCACCCTTGCTGACCTCCCCACGTGACATCTGCCAGGCTCAGAAAAACCCTGCCTGAAGTCAGCACGAGTGCCCCAAGGTGCTGTTCTTGGCTGCCTAAGAGCCTCTTTTCTCACCACAGCACCCAGCTGGGTTGACCCAAGAGCTGGTGGCACGTGGCAAGGCGGGCACCCCGGGGTGGCCCAGGGGGGCTGGTGCCAGTGGGCAGTGGTGTCATGAGAGGGGCTGATTTGTGTGATCCTGGGGTGAGGCACATGCAAAAGGTGGGGAAGGGTGAGGGGAGTGGAGATGCTGGCCTGGGACTCACAACACCACCTCTGCCCTCCAAGGGAGACTAGGAAAGGACTCTGGTGCCAGAGAGGCGTGTAATAAAATAACTGACTTGCTTTCTTTTTTTAGAAAATCTCTCTTATACATGGTATAAACCCACGTGTCTTAGAAATGACATTTAAAGCTGGCTGTACAAATGACTCCAGGCATATGGACTCATAGGATCGTTTTGGCTGGAAAAGACCTTTGAGATCATCAAGTGTAACCATTAACCTAACTCTAACCAGGTCCCCACTGCCCCGTGTCCCTCACCCCACATCTCCACGGCTTGGAAACCCCTCCAGGGGTGGGGACTCCACCACTGCCCTGGGCAGCCTGGCACAGCCCTGGGCAACCCTCCAGGGCAAGAAATTGTTCCTCAGGGACAACCTCAACCTCCCCTGGGGCAACTTGAGGCTGTTTCCTCTTGTCCTGTTTGTCCCTTGGGAGCAGAGCCCAACCCCCCCCTGGCTCCAGGCTCCTGTCAGGAGCTGTGCAGAGCCAGAAGGTCTCCCCTGAGCCTCCTTTGCTCCAGGCTCAGCACCCCCAGCTCCCTCAGCTGCTCCTCCCCACACTTGGGCTCTAGACCCTTCCCCAGCTTTGTTGCCCTTCTCTGCCCATGCTCCCTGCCCTGGTCCTGCTGGCTACACTATTAAGAAAACCCCCAACTCACACACTTCAACACAAAACCAGACAGTTGTCTAAAAATGGGTTCTTCTTCAAGAAAAATTGACCCTGGCCACACGTTTCCCTTCTGGTAAAACATTGACTCTTGCTGAGTGCTGGGGAATCAGCGAGCAGCACCCGGGGAGGTCCCAGCAGCTGCCCCGGGCAGCGGTGCAGGGGCCCTGCCAGCAGCAGCGTCCCCTCCTGGGGGCAGAGGGGCACCCCCAGGTAGGGCAGGACCCACCACAGCAGCTCTCAGCTGCCCCATCGCTCCTCTCGAGCGCCGGATTCCGAGTTAGGATTGGACAGGTGAATAAATTAAGGAAACCACAGACGACTCGATACAAACAGCACCCGGGAAGGTCAGTTCATGTTCTCATTGCAGGAGGAAGTGCTCACGGACCTTCTCCTCCAGGGAGTGCAGCTTGACGGCTCGCAGAGCGCTCAGCAGCTCCTTGGTGACCTTGTACTGCTCCTCTTTGCGGTGGGTGAGCAAAGTCCTGACCTTCTCCTGGATGGCTGCCCTGGTGCCCCGTGCCTGCTTCCTCGGGGAGCCCTCCAGGATCTGCTGCAGGCGCTTCAGCTTCCGCACGGGGATGTTCTGGTACACCACAAAGTCTATCAGGGCTTGGGTACACTCGTCGTCTCCTAGAGCTGGGGGGAGAAAACCACCCAGAGGTTAGAGAGGAGGGGGCTGGGGCAGCAGGACAGGAGGGCACAGGCCTGCTAAGAATATCTGCCCCCAAAGGTGGTCGCTGCCCCATCCCTGGCACCATCCCAGGGGAGGTTGGCCGGGGCTCTGAGCACCCTGCTCTAGCTGGGGATGTCCCTGTCCCTGCAGGGGGTTGGACTGGGTGGCCTTGAAAAGTCCCTTCCCACCCAAATTCTTCCATGATCCTATGACACTGTCCTCACCTGGGCACTGCTCAGACCGGGGGGTCCCAGCCCAGTGATCTCTGCTGGGAACCTGCCTCCCACCACCCACCTTCCAGATTTGGGAGGATATTGCAGCTCACGTGTCCCCTGCACCCAGGAGCACGAGGTGGGCACCACCTGCCCAGCTCTGCCCACGCAGGAGGGTGGCCCAGGCAAGGTGTGAGTCCCAGCCCCAGGACACAGCAGCTTCTGCCTTGCAAGGGGCTCCTCCTCTGCTGAAACCACGGGGGGAGAGGGAGGGCAGGAGGCTCCAGCTGCTGGTGGGTGTGGGCTGCGACTGGTGGCTCAGAATGAGCAGTTTGCAGGTGAAAAACTCAGGTTAGAAGGAGCAGCAAAGCTCCATGAAGGCTTCATTAACCAACCCAAGCCCACCTCTGCCAGGTGAGTGCCCTGGGCACAGCAGGCTGGAATTCCTGGCAGCAGCCCCTTCCCCACGGGGCACACAGAAAACAACCTCTGCAAGTCCCTGGAAGGTGGGAAAACAGGTAAACACACCGTTTCCATGTGCCCCCCTGTGTGAAGAGGGAAACTCCAGAAAGCTCTGGAGTGCTCACTGGGGGTGTCAACACACACACAACTCCTTTTCCTGGAAGGTTCTTTTTCCCCACGCAGGAGTTTCCATCTCGGGGCAGGAGGAGCCACAGGCACAGCCCCAGCCCCAGCTGCCCCAAGTGCTGCTGGAGCTCGTCCAGCACAACGCATGAAATCATGAAGAATTCTCCAGAGATCAAGGCCAAACTCTTACTCAATCGAGGAAAGACTGGACCAGTTTCGTGCCCTGGTAAACTGGGAAGGGTTTCACTGGGGGTAGCGGGGTGGGTCAGGCTCCTTTGCCCAGACTCTGCCTCTCCTGCTGCTCAGGGTTTCCAGGGAGCTGCTCTGCAGCCAGGAGCCCCCCGAGGGAACCTGAGGCAATGGTGAGATCAAAATCCCCTCCCTCTGGCTCTGTGAAGAGCTGGGAGGCCGGGCTGGCCGCGGGGCTGCCACACGTGCTGCTGGCACAGCCCTCACCCGACCTTCCCCTCCCTGCCCGTGGGCCCAGGGCCCATTTTCCATCTCCTCACTGCTGGCAGGGAGCTGGCAGCTGACTCAGGAGTCGTGCAGAGAGATGCCCCGTGCTGGCAGTGCCGGGGGGGGGTGGGGGGGCAGCCTCTGTGCTCCATCACCAGGGAGGAGCAGCTTGTATTGCAGCTCTCCTACCGAGCTTCATCTTGATGAAGGAAAGATATTTCTTGATGATAGAAAGACATTGAAGAGGGTAGATCTAGGTTAGAAATCAAGGAGTTCTTCCTGATGATGGGGGGGCAGCCTCTGTGCTCCATCACCAGGGAGGAGCAGCTTGTATTGCAGCTCTCCTACCGAGCTTCATCTTGATGAAGGAAAGATATTTCTTGATGATAGAAAGACATTGAAGAGGGTAGATCTAGGTTAGAAATCAAGGAGTTCTTCCTGATGATGATGAGACCCTGGCACAGGTTGCCAGGGGAAGCTGTGGGTGCTCCATCACTGGAGGTGCTCAAGATGTGGTTGGATGGGGCTTGTAGCAACCTGGTCTAGTGGGAGATGTCCCTGCCCATGGCAGGGGGGGGGGGGAAAACATGTTCTTTAAGGTCCCTTCCAACCCAAAGCATTCTGTGGTTCCATGATTCTCTGACTTTGTGCTGGAACAGCCTCCACAGGGATACGGTTGCATCCCCACCACTGGAGGTCCTCAGGCCCTGGCTGCACGTGGTGCTGGGTAATCTCATTCAGGCTCCTGTTCCCACAAAAGCTTGGACCAGATGAACTGTCAAAGCCCCTTCCAGCTTGAGTGGTTCCATGGCTTTATGATTCATTAGCCTTAGAGGCTCAGGGGTGCAGG